TGTAGTTAATTTTATCACTCATGAAGAAAGAAAATATTATATTATAGATATTATTACAGTACATTGTATGTGTGTATATAAAGTGCTGTTATGACTTATTATTATACATGTGTGTATATATAATAAAACTATAATTAATTATATAATTTTTAAAAAATCTTAAAAAACATATACATAATCAATTGCCAAAAAAAACTAGAACTTTTTCATTTGTTAAAAAAATTAATTAAACATTTTTAATTACATCTACTGCATAATAATAACTTTGTATTTTACATACATTTTGTATTCATACATCATATTAAGTAATTATAATTACAAAAATGATTTTTATTTTATTCCAATAAATATAATATTTAATATTTGCAGGTGTATTTAATATGCTTATAAATCTGAATTAGTATATATATGTATAACATATGAAAAGAAACCACTTCATAAACGTTATTAATTAATAAGCGCAAAAGTGTTTACTTCACTAGTGTATAAGCAACGTTGAATTATGTTAAAGAAGAACAAGTTCAAGATATATGTTAAAGTTGTTTTTCATATCTATGAGCAAAAAAGTCTTAACTAGATTATTGATGTCAAAGAGTACTTGGTTAATTTTCACAATCCTAACCTTAACATCAACATTATTTTTCAATACTAATCTATTATTTTCATTTTATTCTTTCAGATGCATGAAGCAATGAAATTGGCTTATGTGTGATGTAAGTATAAAAATCTTTTCTTGATATATTTTTTTAGAATCGTTTGAAATTTAAGATATATACATATAATGAGCTTCTCTAAGAAAGTACATAAATTTTTAATAGAATTATTTATTTTAATTCATTTTAAGACGTGCTTTTTTTCTAAAATCCATTTTAGATCATTTATAATCTATGTCAAAAACTAATAGTTAAATTTTGTATTTCTGCAATTACAAATCGTGTGCAAAGAAGAATATATAATTTTCACTATTTTAATATAGAACGATACTGCAAAACAGTGAACACTTTTAAGATGACAAATTTTTGTAAAACATAAATAAGAAGGAGCATACATCCACATACGTAAGATGTTTTTTGCCAAAGTCATATATTTAAAATTAAAAATGTAAATGTTTCGGTCAAATCCTGGTCATCAGCAACACAATAAAAGAATGCGAGAATGAGATGTTAAATAATAAAACGCTAATTAAGATGTGGAAATAAAGTTTATATCCGAAATTATTTTGATTTCTCGATCCTTTTGACATATAAGCTTAAATCTTATTTCTTGATCGCTGTATATTAATACGGGATTGCCAAATTCTGACAACAAATTTAAATAAATTATTATCTTAATTTAATTTATTAGGTGTCTTTTAATTATAAAAACTTAGTACGTATTACCACAACGATCAGTTACATTGTTGCGATGCAGTGTTATTTGGTGAAGAATATTCACGAAGACGAAAGAATTTTATGTTGGTACTAATATTAAGTAAGAAATTATAATTGCGTGCTGATGTGGTTGTTGGACTTTCAACGCAATCAATCTGAAATATTAATAATCCCCTCAAATTTCTCAAATTTAATCTTAAAAAATTGTAATAAACTTATTGCGAAAAATATTGCCTCGGCCGGGAGTCAAACCCGGAACTTACATTCAGACCGTAATAGCGCTTCATATTTAAAGTAATGTATCTAATATAAACAGTCTTATTTTCAATTTTATTATTTATACACACCTACAATGCGTAACTTTTTATACATATCGGTTATTACAAAGAATATTGCTAAGGTCTCGATAGTCTAGGTTTAGGACGCTCGCACGGAATGCAAGAGATCCGGGTTCGACTCCGGGCCGAGGAAATATTTTTCGCAATAAGTTTATTACAGTTTTTTAAGATTAAATTTGGAAAATTTGGGGGGATTATTAATATTTCAGATTGATTGCGTTGAAAGTCCGACAACCATATCGGCATGCAATTATACTTTCTGAAATTAATTCATTTAAATGAATATATATAATAGTTCAACATCTTTGCATTCAGACCGTAGTGACGTTCGTATGTAAAGTAATGTCTAATATAAACGGTTTTATTTCCAATCTTATTGTTAAGTAAGAAAGTTTGTGTAATTATAGTGACATTGTCAGCGTTTCGAGGCGGTATTTATATGTGATCAGAGGAAAGGAAAGGGAAAATGTTAGGAGGAGATGATACGAGGGTCGTTCGAAAAGTCCGTGCAAAGTCACTGCTGATGGCACTACTGGCGCGTATCAAGGTTAGATTTAGTTAGTAGCATCTCTTGGAGAAACACACACCAAGTTACAGCCAGATCGGTCTATTTGTTTGTGTTTGGCATTCATTTGAATCGAGGAAGTCGAGGGGGGTTTGTTTCTGCAATCACGTCCTCGTTTCCATAAAATCTTTTTCCCGCCAGCCATTTCTTCATATTGGGGAACAAATAGTAGTCCGAGGGAGCCAAGTCTGGAGAATAGGGAGGATGTGAGACGAGTTGGAACCCTAATTCCATTAATTTTGCGACCACAACTGCTGGTGCGTTATTGAAAATCACTTTTCAAACGACCCTCGTATATGTATTAGTGAACGGAAAACTATTTTTTTTAATTATGTATAAAAATATCAGGAAAACGTAATGCGTCACTCTGCTCATTTAATACAAAATCTTGTTTCTTTATGTGTATCATCTTTGATACTATTCTTTTATAATAAGATATTTCTGAGTCTAGAATTTTTGTATTTCAAGTCAATTTTGTGATTATGTTCTAATTGATGTTGGAAGACCATAGAAACTGCAATAAAGAAGATTTTCTTATATCAGCTTTTTGTTCTTTCAGCCGAATGTTCAATTTCTGTTTAGTCTGACCAACATAAGACGTATTACAATCAGAACAATTTATTTGATAGACAACATTTAAACGGTCTTTTTTTTTAATTTTCTTTTTTTTATAAAAAGATTTAAAGAATTCATAGGTTTATAAGTAATATTACAGTTGAATTTATATGTTATTATTTTTAATTTTTCTGAAACATTTTTAAAGTATTATATGTAACAGTAAAAAAACTTTTTATTTTGAATGGAATCAGAGATGGAAACATTCTTATGAATTTTTATGTTATCGAAATTCTTTCTACGTAACAACGCTTTTATTCTATTATTGATAGTGGAAAAAGGGAATTTTTTAATCCACACACATTATTTAAAAAGATGTAGATTAATATATTCATAATAAATTCAGAATAAATATTTTTTTCTTAAAATTTTGGATGTGCAAGAAATAAAATTCTGTCTAGTTGTTCAATAATTACACCATTCTTTTATTCAATCAGATAATTGGAATTAAAATTTAAGTATCTGCCTGAATTTGTTGGCTTTTTATAATAATCAAAAATAATCGTGTCATTATCAATCATTACTTTAACATTCAAGATTCTAATTTCTTCATTAGCGCTTAATTAATATTTAGCGATAAATTGAAAGTGCAAAAAATTGTTTTAATTTGATCTTTTTTAGCAATTAATATAATGTTGTCCATATAACAATAGTAAAATAGAATAGAAACGGTCAAAGAGTTTTAAAAATTTCAAAGTTTTTAAAAATTTCATTTTCTAGATCTAATATTATGCAGTTGGCTAAAATAGGAAACAGAGGAGATCTCGTGGGCAAACCAAAGATTTGTTTGAAAATTAAATTATCGAATTTGAAAAACGTAGAATTAAGAATCATCTCAATCAATAGACAATGTTTGGAAAATATTTTTTAAATATTCATTTCTTATTAATTATACATATTGTCCAGTTTGATGTAGAAAAAAATCTGTATTAAATGTTAATTACATATTTTTTTTACATTTGTTATTTATTAGTAATAACGAAATTGTAAAAAATATGTATTTAACGTTTATTTAATGTTTATTTAACATTTATGTTTCTTTAATAATTTATTTATAATAATATTAAAAATTGTTTATTTAACATTTATTCATTAATTTAATATTTATTTTTGAACAGTTATTCATTTGTAATAATAATTTTATAAAACATTTAGTTATCATTTATAAAATTACAATATAATTTACGATTTATGTTGCATTATAATTATTTATTTTTAATATGTTATAAAAAAATATTTATTTAACATGTAATTGTTATTAATTTAATATTTATCTGTCGTTAGGCATATATTTGCAGTAATAATTTGCAAAAATGTTTATTTATTAGGTTAATCGGAAAGTTTCATTCGTTTAGCGGCGAGTAGCTAGAATTGTAGATAACTCTAATATCTAAACCAAGCTTAATATTTTAGTTTTATCATCTGTCAATAAAATTTAGTATATATTTAGTATATATTTAGTATATATAAAGGTATACGTTCGCATCAATAACCTTGCTTCTTCTGCATCAAAAATGTCGAAATTTGAGCCAAATAAGTATCATTTGCGTGAAGTGTCTTAGTCTTTTGCTTCATATGGAAGAAAACTGCTGAAGCTCATTGAATGCTTGTAGAAGTTTATGGTAATAGTGTTCCTTCCGATAAAACATGCAGAAAATGGTTTCGACGCTTTAAAAGTAGTGATTTTGATGTGGAAGACAAAGAGTTCTGGATGGCCAAGAGCATTCAAAGACGAAGAATTGCAGGCATTGATGAATGAAGACCCATGTCAAACGCAAAAACAACTTCCAGAAACATTAAATTGTGCTCAATTTGTTATTTCCGATCGTTTGAAAGTCGTGGGAAAGATCTACAAGGAAGAAAAATGAGTCCCATTATGAACTGAAGCCAAAAGATATTGAAAGGCGAAAAACCAATAAAATTCTGCTTGC